AAAAACATCTATATCTATAAATATATTGCTATTTGTTCTTTGACAATGTTTAACCTTAAAATTACACCCAGTTTGCTGTTTTTAATTCATCACAAAATATCATAATTTTACAGATATTTGACATTTTTCGAAAGGAAAATTATGTATATTAAGAATTGAAAAATAGTAAATATATTTTAAACTCTTTAACAGATTTCCCTGTTTAAACTACATTTGTTAGGTTACACATAATAACTAGCAAAGTCAAAGAAAAGAAATATTAATTTAACTTTGAAAACAAAGAGACCAAAGCTGTAAAGTTCACATCAAATTAATTAAATTAAATATATTAAATTAAATTAATTTATTCTTTTACAGTGTTTGACATTAAAAATTACACCGTTTTAAAGTGTTAAAATGAGTAAACAAAAATATAATTTTACAAATATTTGCCATTATTTGACAGGTTTTCCTCTTTAAGTTACATTTGTTATATTGCAGATAATACCTTGCAAAATCACAGGAGAAAAAGTATTAATTTACAGGTCAACCTTGAAGAAAACAGGCAAAAACACAATAAAAACTGTATTGAAATAAGCAGGAAGTATCATTATTTAAGAGATGTTTGCTGTTATTTGAAGGAAAATGTTACATATTAGAAATAGAAAAATGGTAAATGATATTTTAAGCTGTCAATTTACAGATTTTTCAGTTTTGTTAAATCACAAATCTATCTTTAAAATCACAGAAAAACGTATCATTGTTTTTCTGGCACCTCTGCTGCCAGACTTCCACTTTATTAATTTATTTTTTTAAATACAGTACATCATGATTACGACTCTCCAGAGCTGACTCGTTCTTCTCTACCTGCAGGCGATCCAGCAGGGCTGGGGCGCTGTGATGCGCTGGGGGGGCCGTCTGAGCCAGAACCTGGCCGAGCTGAGCCAGTCGGCGCTGAAGAAGGACGAGATGAAGGTGGACCTGCCGGAGCTCCAGAGCCCAGCGGGGAGCGACTACACTGCAGTCAGCGGCGGCCCTCAGGTGCCCTGGGGTCTGGGCCGACTATTCGGGGCCTCCAAGAGCCCCAACAGCCCGACGGGTCACATACCACCAACCAGGTACGTAAAGTCTATCAGGGGCGGTGGAGAAGTTCTGGGACTGCTGAAGGACGCTCGTCTCCCAGGGCTCCTGCAACACTCGTAACACTCTGCATACAGTTCACTAGTTTGACTGTCTTCTTCTAAAGAACATAAACCAGCAGTAAAGTTTAAAAGCTGCTGCACTTGAAGCTTTATAAAACATCTCAACCTGCTGAACTCCGACATCGTCTGTTCCTCCGTCCAGACGTCCGTCCCAGTGGTTGGCTCCTGGTGTCACGGCGCTGACCCGCATGGTGAGCAGCAGCTCCAGCCCGATGCTCAGAAGAACCCCGGAGCTGGTGGAGGAAACCGAGCCGGAGCCAGAGAAGGACGTCGACTCGCTGGAGCTGAAGGACAAACCACGACCACTCAGGTACGGCAGGCGGCGAGCGGCGGAGGTGGAGGCGTGGAAGTCTGGTCGGCTGGAGCGGGTGGGAAGTGATAGAACCGTCTGTTGTTTTCTCACAGCTGCCATCATAACAACTCATCCAGCTTTAAATAAACCTGGATGGATGGAGCATTCTGGCACCTTTTAGAAGTAACTGTGTTAAGAATGCAGCAATTTGGAACTTCAGTAACGCTCTGGACCTCAAAAAGAAATGTCTGTTTAAATAACAGAACCAAAAGGCTTAAAAAAAAATCTAATAAATATCTGTGTTTTCAAATTTCCGATGGTTCCTGAGCTGATCACGTGTGACATGAAGCTCTGTCGGGAAAATTAACCAAATCTAGGCTTAAAATCATGATATTTAATCTAAATCTTTTTTTTCTTTAACTAGATTCCAGTAAAAAAACAAAACAAAAAAAAAACCAGAAAGACCAGAACAGAAAACTGACAAAGCGTATTAGACTCTTCAGCTGAACGGAGTAAACACAACGGCTTTTGTTCCAAGAACCGTCAAGGTGTTTCATGCAACATGCACATTTTCATTTTTATAAATACAAATCAACAAAATGACACCGTTAATCAGAACCAGAAGCTGCAAAAACAGAAAGATTTGTTGGATTTTCAGCCTCGTAACGTACCGAGAACCACTCGTGTGTTTCAGTTTAAAATCAACCAAATCTCATCTGAAAATCAGGGTATTTCTTTAGTTTTTTGTTTTTTTTAATAAGCAAAAATAAACAATAAGAAAATATAAAATGTAAAGTAGAAGATAGTTTACACTGAGCAGATTCTGTAAAAAAAATACAATAAAATTCTGCGCTCCTCAATGCAACCGTGAAGCCATTCAGTGGCGACCAACAGACAAAAATTCAATAAATATTTCACTGAACTGCAGGCAGTGTTTCCACAGAGCAGAACAGAGACAAATCAGAGACTGAGAGGAAAATAAAAAACCTGCTGGATCAAATAAATAAATGTAGCGTGGATCAGAACCAGTGAACAGAAGGAGCCAGTTGTTGGACGATACAGTCAGCATCTCGTAAAATGTAAATATCTACAGCGTGTACGGTTTTATTAGGATTATTCTAGAAGGTTGAATCTACTTGTCTTTAACCCTCCTGTTATCTTTGCGGTCAATTTGACCCCAGTCAGTGTTTAACGTCTCTAAATAAGTGATCAGTTTTATTTAAAGGGCTATCTACACATAAACAGCTTAAGTCATGGTAGCTTTCTGGAGGCTGAGATTGCTGCGGCCAAACTGAACCCAAGGATAACAGATGTCAGTAAATCTGAAGGTAATAGGAGACCGGTCCTGTTCGTGCCTTTCCATCCTGGTGATCCGTGACCCGTGTTCAGCGCTGATCAACATCCAGCCTGGATCCCTGAAAACAAAAACCAATGAGGCCAATCTGAGGCACGTCGTCTTTCCTTTTGTTCAGTGATTTCTTTCCGCCTCCAGCAGCGTCCGTGGGCGGAACCGGCACCAGAATAGCTCCCGTTATCCTTTATGTGTCTTTTTCTGGTGACTCATCGTTCTGACTTTGACTGATCCTGACAGTGACTCATCCGAACCTGCATCGCACGCTGACGTGATTGTTTGTGTACGGTCGTGTTATTCATCGTATCATTTATTGTATTTTACTACATTAGACTGCCTGGAAATGATCAGAAACTCTGAGTATGGAATCTGCATTTCAATAAATAACAGAAACAGTAAAAAGAGATATGAATCATTGTGGACGTGACATTTTTTTTAAACACAAAATTTAAATATTTAGCCACGACTAGAAACTGCTGTTCTCACTTTATATCGTATTAGAACGTTCTGGAACATGGTAGAAATTACCAGGAATATTTGGAACGACATAGAAGCTGCATTTATTAAACATTTCTAACAATATAAAGCCGTATAGCTAATTTCAGAGATTGCATTTGTAATAATAATCATTTTTAAAAAGCTTTAAAAAATAACGAATAGATTATAGACATGTCGCTGTTCATAAAGATATTTTTAAAAATAATAATAATAAGCAGAAATGGTACAAATGTATCTTAAAGATCTCTAACTCTGTGTTTTACAGACTTTTATCACTTTTTATGTCATTTACAGCCAAAATAAACCCGCTGGTCACATAAAAATTCCCTTTATATCACATTTCGTTACTACAGAATCTGTATTTCCTCAAAATAGAGATGCATCATGTTAGACGTGGCCCTTTTCATAAAAATATTTTTAAAAATATAAGCAGAAATTGTTCAAATGTATCTTGAATATCTCTGATGTTATGTTTTACTGTCTTTTGTCACTTGTTTATGTCATTTCCAGCCAGAAGAAACCTGTTGACCAAATAAAAATCACATTTTCTTAGTGTAGAATCTGCATTTTGTCAAAAACAAGAGATATGCATCATTGTAGACATGACATTTTTCAGAAAAATGTTTAAGAAATAATCAGAAATGGTTAAAATTCATAATTAACAACTCCAACACAAGGCTTTACTGTCTTTTGTCACTTGTTTATGTCATTTCCAGTCACAGGAAACCTGTTAATTACATCAAAATTCACAGTGAATCCCATCTTTTCGTGTCTGTGAGTAACTTTTCCCGCGTTTCAGGTCCGTACGAACGCTGTGCGACCACACCGGAACCGGCACCGAGCTCAGCTTCTGCAAAGGGGAGGAGCTGGTGGTGCTGGGAGGCGTGGACCAGGACTGGATCCGCTGTCGTCAGGGAGACCGAGAGGGGCTGGTACCGATCGGCTACACCTCCCTCATCATGTGACTTCGGCTCCGCAACTCGCTGCACTGAATCAACGCGAAAAAAAAACAAAAAACAAAAAAACAAAACAAACAAATACAAAATATCTATATTTTAGGCGAGTGCTGAGAGGTTACGGTGAGGCTGCACTACTCTGGAAGGGATATTTCACGCTGCTCGGGTCGAGTGCGCCGCGCCATCTGTTCTGCTTCTCACGCATCGGGCCACCGCTCCCCCTCCCCACCGCAATCCGTGCAGCTCGGTAGCATTCAGCTAATGGGTTTTAGCAGCAGGAATCCAGCCGAGGGTGTGAAATAATCGCCAAATTTAGACCGCTTCACACCTTTTGATCTTCGAGTGAAGTATCCCTTTTAAAAGTCCTTTTTTCTCCGTTGCCGTCCTCCTGCTCAGTCTCTGATCTGAACAATCTCATCCCAGCGGGTTTCAGATCACGGGCTGCAAAGAGGCGCCGGTCGACGGCCCGGCTTTAGCCACGTTAGCGCCTCTGTTCGTCAGCTGCAGAGCGTCGTGGCTCGCCGGCCATCGGGGGGATGAAGGCGTGCCAGAGTACTGAGCCGTAGCTCCTGTTGCATACTGCGTAGTAATGTAGTGAATTGTAGCTGTGTAGATCCGTGTTCTATTGACCTTCACCCTCGGACCCCTTCTCCACCGACAGCAACCAGGTGCTAGTTGGTTGCTGGTGCTAGTTCCAGTGCTTAGTCAGTTCACCGCCTAAGAACTTGTTTCTATCAGCAAGTTAGAGCCGTACGTCGCTGCATACCGTTTACCGGACGTACGGGGGTCCACACAGGACTCCAGACTGACTCTTTCACTGGTCATCGGTCGCACCTCCCACCTTGTCACAGGCACAACATATGACTTGCTGAACATTTTCCTATCGATAGACTCTACAGTTTACCGATTGCGGTAGCTGCTGTTGGTGGCCGCGGTGCTCTGATAGTTGTGTGACCAAAAATGACTTTAAAAGGGTAAACTAGGGCGTTCTAATGCCAGATTTGTCTTTTTTTCTCGTGCGGTCTTTCCTGTGAGCTCATGTAGGTGCGCTCCATTTTCCACAAGACTGCACGTTAAAGCCTAAGTACACCGAAGTTCTAAAAGTTCTGTTTTCCACCCCTGTGGTGCTGCTGGTGGGACACAGTTGTACCGGATTTCAGCGCACAACAGTTTGTTTAGACCAGGGATGTCCAACTCCGGTCCCCGTGAGCTACTGTCCTGCAGGTTCTAAACGTTACTGCAACACACCTGACTCCAATCAATGGATTGTTACCAGACTTGTGTAGAACTTGACAACAAGCTGTTGGAGATCCATTAAGCACGGAAACGTCTAAAACCTGCAGGACAGTAGCTCACGAGGACCAGAGTTGGAGATCTCTTGTCTCGGGAGTCATTCCGGTACATCTGCGATCAGATCAGTCCTGGTGAAAAACGACACAAGTTACCGCTTCATTGGTCCCGTTGGTCACGATAACGCCGCCTCCAGCACCTGACGGTTCTTAGCTCTGGCCCAGCAAAGAGTTGGTACTCGGTAAGCTCCAGTTCTGAGAACCTGGAGCCGGTGCTTAGGTGGTGGAAGAACTGGTGCCAAGTCAGGCTCCGAACTAGCGCTGGAACCAGCTCGGTGGAAAAGGGGCATCGATGACCTCTCATCCCTCTCGCCTGGTTCATGAGTGTTTCTGCTACTATATTTGACTGTATAAATATACATAAAAAATACTATATATATATATAGGTATATAAAAATTGAGATTGATATTACCAAGATAGATAGAAAGATAGACGATCAAGAGAAAGCAGATAGTGAAACACAAGCATCGGTGTGATTGATTTAAAAAAAAAAAAAAGAACGGATCGATTCATCTCTCCGCGCACATCGAGCGGTCGTCATACGTGCAAAATGTGTTTATTTTGAAATCTTCCCTCGCCGTCATACTCGTAACATTATTAGCTCATATCTTAAGTGCTTACTGTAACGTGCCATGAATGCTTCGAACGAATGCCAGAAAACATCCACGTATTTATCCCGCACAGTAAAAAAAAAGATATCAGACGACAGCAATCTGTAGCCAAACCGTGTCCAGAACCTCACAGAACACCTTTTTTGCACTCATCCCACCTCCGTGCTTCACTGTCAGGACCGCGCATAGTCCTGCTCAGGCTCGCGCTGGACCACGTCCGAGGCGGGTCGGAGTGAAAACCCCTCACAGAACTACGCTCGGCTCTTGTTCGACGCTATCTGAACTCAACGCAGTGGTAAAATCCAGGAAGTGATGTATAATTCGCTACGGTCAAATCTGTGGGTTTTGGTGGCTGGTCTTCACCTTGTACCTCAGCTTTTTGTATTTATCTCCTCCCCCCGCCATGTTTGCTGATCATAACCATGGATATTAACGATAGTGGTCGTGGTGGATGTCGGTTCTGATGTTGCTCATATGAACTCTGTTGCTTTGTGTCATATATTTATCAGTTATTCTCTAGATTCTGTATTGATGACTATGCATATGGTTAAATGTGTTTTTGTTTGTTTTAATTTGGTGTTATCATGCAAGTGGACATCTGAACCATAAAACAATTGCTTAAAAAACAAAACAAAAGAAGATACATATATATATAGAAGAGCCTGGTCAGGAAAGGCTGACACTAAAGGACCTCTACTTAATTCAGCAGGAACATTTTAATGCTATGAATAAATCAGGGAAAGCTCAGCTCTTCAAAGTTTCCTCGTGTTATCGTGTCAAACGCCATGTAGCATGAGCTTACTACGGCGACAGTCCAGTAGCATCGAGTCCAAACCAGTGCTCACGATGAAACGCCATCAAATGGATAACATATATATATATATGTAGGTGTTTACGAGGAACGGTGTCTCGGTTAAAATATCAGTTTGTTATGTTTTTGTTTATTTATTGGGTGTACTATTTATTGATCTCGAGGTTTCTGAAAGGGAATATCTGGCCCATCTAGTGTCTCTCTATCTATCTGGGTTTCTTCGTGTGTGTGTGTGTGTGTGTGTGTGTGTGTGTGTGAGAGCGTGCACATGGCAGCGTACGTGGCGGTGAAGGCAGAGATGAGCGAGAGCACTTCGATGCGTCTGCACATCCTGCACTTTCACTCATAAGTGTAACGATGACTTCTGTACCTTCCTCCTCCTCCTCTTCCTCCTGCTCCCTCCCCGGTGTCATGTAGCCCGTAGACCTCCCGCTGTCCTACTGTTGCATATAGTTGAGTGCCCCTCTAGTGTCAGTCACTGTCCACCTCCTGCATGTGCTTGTTTGTAAATACACCAAATAAAAGGATCTGTATAAACCAAACCTGTTCGGCTCGCTGTGCTTTTTTTTCCCCCCCGCAGTCCTTATTCATGAAGGCTACAGCCAGAGTGAGCTGAGCATCGCCTAAATGTCAGATGATTCAAAATTGCATCACTTCTCTCTTCTAAGCTGAACAAATTAACAAACGCTTTGCAAAGAACATATTGAAAAGTAGAAACTCAAATACACGACTTAACCCTTAAATACTGATCATATTTTATCCCAACAAGTGTCTACACCAAATTTTCAACTACGAATCTGTTTAGAATGTCACATGAATCAATGTAAATAAAACATGACCTGTACAGTTTCACAGCTTCAAGGTCCCCTAAAACCACCATTTTCCTTAATGTGACCCACTCTGGTGGATCTAGAATCCATCTCAATGGATATACGGGTCACACATGAAGCACCTGTACAAAAATATAAAATCTTAAAATATTTTTATTTCTGTGAATTTTGGGTCACTTTAGGAAAATTTATGACTAAGAAAAAAAAATGACGTTTAGGGTATTTTTTACTGCTGTCAAATTGCTAAAACGGGTCACATTTGACCCAAAACAGCCTCAGTGTACAAAAATGTGTAGCACCTGTACAACAGTATAAAACTATTATGTATTTTTGGGTCACTTTATTAAACATCATGACATTTCAGGCTAAAAAAAAATGACGTTTAGGGTATTTTTACTGCTGTCAAATTGTCAGAATGGGTCACATTTGACCCAAAACAGCCTCAATGTTCAAAAATTTGTAGCACCTTTACTAGTATAAAGTATTATTATGCATTTTCATTTTTGTGTATCTTAGGTCACTTTATGAAATATCATCAAATTTCAAGCTAATAAAAGGATGTTTAGGGTATTTTTACTGCTGTCAAATTGTAAAAAAGGGTCCATTTGACCCAAAACAGCCTCCATGTATAAACATTTGTAGCACCTGTACAACATTATAAAATTATTATATATTTTTGAGTCACTTTATTAAATATCATGACATTTCAAGCTAAAAGAATGACGTTTAGGGTATTTTTACTGCTGTCAAATGTCAAAACGGGTCAAATTTCACCTGAAACAGGGTGTAAGGGTTAAAAAAAAGTTGGCCTAAATGCATGACTGATTGTAAAATGAGTTGAACTTTCTCAGTATTGGACCAATGAGCCGTGTCTATCTACATCATGGCTCCACATGAACAGGGACTTTGTGTAGACTTCACAAAGATGGATCCAGAAAGATCAGTTCAAAATCAGGTGAAACACAGGTGCAGCAGAAATCAGGAGGTATCCAATGAGCCTCGGTGACACTGATCAGGGCTGCTGTCCTGCTCTTTGGGGTTCGGTTCTAGTTTTTTTGTTGTGTTAGATCCCTTCTTGTGTGTTTGTTAGTTTGTCCATGTGTGCGTTCGTGTTTTAATTTGAAGTTACCAACCTTTCATGTCTCTGGGTCTGTTACTTCCTGTCTTTGTGTGTTTTCCCTCCATTTTTGATGGCCCCGCCCTTTTTAGTCTTACCTGTGTCTTGTTTGTTCATTAGTTCTCTTTGCAGCTAAAGTCCTGCATCTTCCCCTTTCGGTTTTGCCTCCTTGTCGACCCTGTTTGGTTTCCTGGTCCAGCTCACCTCAGGTTCACCTGCCTGAGATCTCCTCGTCTGCTTCTGATTTGTACATAACTTTGCTTCTTGCTTCAGTTTGTTTCCGTGCCTGCTACCTTGGTGGAGTTTTGGTTGACCTTTTCCAGCTCCCTATTGCTTTTAATTTATCAGGACTTTAGCTTATTTTGTACCAACTTTATAATTCAAGCTCACCTTTTGTTTTTTAATACCTGCCTCTGCTGTCTGGGTCTTTTTTTCCAAAACCCTCGATGACATCTGCAGTGTTCATCCTGTGAAAATGACTCCAGACAGTGAACCACTTTCACAATCGAGCTGTAAAAAGAAAACAGCAGCTACTTCAGACTTGACACAGAGGTCATGTATAGAAATCAGAGTTTCTGTGA